TCTTTATATGAAAACTATTTAAGAATCTTTTCGAGAAATTTGCTTTGGAATATCGGAATACAATTCTGGAAAAGATCATGTACATATGATCTATTAATCATATATTACGTTTTAATATAGATATAGATGTGTGCGTTATGAAATCATTCGTAAGAACGTTTAATTAAAAAGAATAGACAGATTGTATTGTTACCTTGTTGGTTAACCGTTGTATCTGTATTAACTGCTCTAACTGTATTAACTTCTTTACTGGGTTCTAAAGATTTATTTTCAATATTGTTAACTGCAACATAAGAGTTAAGATTTATAAAAATAAATCGTATTACATTAATTAGCAATTATTTGACAATTTTCTTAGTTACATTTGATCTTTCTATTATTGATCTATCTATTAATCATATATTACATTTTAATATAGATATAGATGTGTGCGTTATGAAATCATTCGTAACAACGTTTAATTAAAAAGAATAGACAGATAGTATTGTACCTTGTTGGTTAACCGCTGTATCTGTATTAACTGCTCTAACTGTATTAACTTCTTTACTGGGTTCTAAAGATTTATTTTCAATATTGTGAACTGCAACATAAGAGTTAAGATCTATGAAAATAAATCGTATTACATTAACTAGCAATTATTTGACAATTTTTTTAGTAATATTTATTGAATAAAAGAAATTTTGTACTGATGTTTACAAAATCAATACATGTGTATAAAATCAATATAATAATTATTTAGCATTAACTACATTTAAGTTACCTTGATCAATTGACTGCGCAGCTGATATTTCGAAAGATAAACCCAAGTCTCTATTATTAGGTGAACCAAAAATAATATCTAAAAAATATAATTATATTGATATGCAGTATTTACAAGACGATATAGATATATATATATATATAAAGTATACATATGTATTTAATGAGAAATATAACCATTATGTACACTCCTACAAATAATTGATATAATACATACTAGTTTACTTAAACAAAAATTAAATCATTATACTTTACCTTCTTGATAATTTGTGTTTTCCATTAAAGCATTTAAAAAAGATGTATCTAAAATCTCGTTTGCAGGGAAACTAATAACTAAATCTGAAGATAAATTAAAGTTATAAACATTTATAATAAAACTGCCGAATAAAAATATTTTGTAATATTAATTAAATGAGCTAACTGAACAATTATGATAGTAATTGTTTGTAGTTTAGATGTGAACAATAAATAGATCTCTTTACCTTGTTGATCGACTTGTTTATTTGAAGTTTCCAAACATTCTTCCAAAAGTGTACTTGTTTTAAAATTAATGTTATTATCTAAAAAAAAATATTATTTACGTATATAAAATCATGCCATGCTTATGTAAATACAACAATTAAATAAACTACATTATCTCTTTCATGAACAGTTTTGGCGTTCAGACATTTCAAAGATTTGGTACTAGTAATGGAAAAACTTAGTTAAACTTCTACAGAGAAAGAACTATAATTATTTATGTTAATGTAGATGGAAGTGTTGTACTTATTTAAAAACTAATAATATGTATTTATATATAAAGTAAACAAGAATTAAATTTACTTTGCTGATCGACATTATTTTCTTCGATTGATGTTTCCAAAGACTCATCCAATATAACATTTTTAGTAAAATTATGATTATTACCTACAAAAATAATAATATATAAGTATACATACACACACACACACACATACACATGAGCAATGCAAACATTATTTACGTATAAATTTTATTACCTTTTGCGTTATTATTCAGCCATTTATCAGAATCGCTAATAATAGTGCTTCCGGAAAGATTTAGTTCAACATCTAACAGAAGTTATTGTATTATACATATTGTACTTCAGTAGATATAATTACACTGCATATTTATTTATATGTAAAATTAAAAAGTATACAGTATTTACCTCTCTCATTGACACTTTGTTTGTTTGAAGCTTCCAAAGATTTTTCTAAAATGATGATGTTTTATGTTATTACTGTTAACAACTAAAATCAAAAGTATTTGTGCATACAAATTATGCTACACTCATATAAATACAACAATTACATATTTAAATAAGTTGTGTTACCTGTACTATCAACTATTTTATTGTTCAACGATTCAACAGATGTGTCACAAAGCGTAATTTTAGAAAGACTTGGTTGAACATCTGAAAAAGAACTATAATTATACTACATGGCCAATAACTGATATTTTTATGAAAAAAACTAAATGAAAGATAGGCAAATATCCCAACTTTTATGAAGAAACAATTAATTTAGGTACTATATATAAAACACATACCTTGTTGACAGATTTTTTCCGTAGATTCATCTAGAACTTCACCTATTAACAAATTAATATTAGTATTTAAAAGATTTATAAAAGAAACAAAAAAGACATATAAAATACATTAAATGTTTTGGGTTACCTTTACTGTCACTTTCGATAGAACTTGAAGTGGTGTTTGACAAATTTATTCGTTTTAAACATATTTTTGGAACATTATTTGTTAGGTTTTGCGCAATTTTTTCGAGATCCATATAATTTTCTTAAAACAAAATAATTATAGATAAATTGAAATTGTTATACAAGTATACTATATATAATTGTATTTTATCTATACTTTACCGCTACATATTATCCATCCTTTAGTTTTCCTTTTTCTTTTTGTTACTTTATATGTACTTTTAGTCTTGCTTAAAGAGTACATTATAACTGTTTCTCTGAATTTAACTGTATGTTTCTCTCAATAATCAACTTTTCCTATAATCTTAGAAACTTATTTTATGCTTGAAAGTACAAAACAATACTTTATATCCAATTTATACTTATTTATTATTTATATTCACTGAACTATATAAACACTGTAACGTATCTTTCCACATAAGTCTTGTATTAGCGCGTGGAGAC